CAATATGCACGCTTCGCTCCCGGGGCCCCCGCGGCCCGGCGCGAGGCTCTTCCGAATCCTCAGATGGGCCGCCCCTCTCCCCGCCCCGTTCGCCTCTCGCCAGGGTAATTGACTCGATGTAGGCAATTAAGCGCGCTGATTGGCAGAGCGGGCGCGGCGCGCCGGGCAGTATTGAGACAGCTGGCGGCAGAGCAGTCCCCGTTTCCCTACCCTCGCCCGCGAGAGTCCCAGCCGACTCGTAGGGGTCTTGGAAACCTTTGCCTGCTGGTGCACAGTGGACATCAGGAATTGATTCGATAATAAAACACGTCCGCTCGCTTTGGCCCGGATTGCAGAAAGCATTTATTCTGCGATTCACATCAAAAATTTACGGTCACATATTAGAGGACAAACTATTACTTCATCCATCCTTCCAAAACATTTGCAAATATTAGTAAAACCCAAATATAATGAAACCTCAACCCCAACAATTTTAATAAATTAAAAATGATTGAAAATATAGGTATCTACAACAAATCGAAATGCAGAAGAACTTTACATTTTCGGTAAAACCTTCAAATCTCCTCACAAGGTTACTATAGAAATAATTAGTGACCGCTTGTTAATATAGTAAAAATATATCAACAGCTCGTTAAAAGACCAAAGAAATTACGATTACCAATTGTGATATTGACGCTTTTAAAGTTGACGAAAAAGACTCTTAAAATTTAGAATACCTACTTTACAGGCAACGAATGAATGTACCTGTTTAACCACGAAAAATCTCATAATCAGTAACAACATAAATTCCCGGTAATGTCATGAACTTCAAAACTATTATTTCGCATGGAGAATTTCTAACTAATTTCTGTGTTCCAAAAACCTATTAGTTATATTAAACAAATATCAGGAGGGGGGTGTCTCTACCTTTACTGTACAAGTTTCCATTACACGCATTATAATTTGACAGCCCATTTGCAAACACTTCTTATATTTCCTCTGTCAATAATTCAAATTCATGATCAGAAGACATAAATGGGTAATTACTGAAAGAAAAAAAGAAAAATAAAGCGGTAATTTTTAATAAATTGGATTTTAATTATCGGAATAGTGAAGGTCTGCAGTTTGCCTCCAGTATAAATTAAATCTGTTATTAGGAACAAAAGGCGCCGAGAATAAAAAAAATAATTCACAAAAAGAGGAGAGAAATGTCAATGACCCCCCTCACAAACAAAGGGTGAAATACCAAGTGGCAGCACTATATTGAGTTCGCAGTCAGAAAAAAATCCCTCCATGCAAATCAACGCCGGGACGGACGCTTTAAAATTCAAACTAGGCTGGCTTGTTGTTTCCATCACAAAAATTAACCCCGTCAGTCCCAACCAGCGCGAGCTCTGTGAAGCCTGCGGCAGCTTCCTGTGATGGGCAAACTGTCAATTATTGGCTGTTTTATGCATTCATATGTGTTATTTAAATGAATGCATTCCATTCGGTCTCACATAGGAGGGCCTGAAGGCGACGGGCAACTGAGGGAAGCAAACACGTTAGCGACATAGCGATTTATGTGAGTTACAGGTTTAGAGAATTATGAAAGAACGCTGTGTAATTGCAGGTAGGGATTGCTCTTCATTCCTGTTTACACTTTGCTCTTCTCTCACTCTCTTATTTTAGCCTCTCTCCTTCTTTACCTCTCTTCTCAATTTATCTACAAGACATTATTATTACAGATACATCCACAAACATTTTAACGTAGGGAATTTTCGAAATGTAACAGTTAACAAGATTGTGTTGGTAAGCAGAAATCAAAATGAAAAAATCTGCTAATAAATTTAACTCAGTCAACCCAGACCTATTTTATTAATAGTTCGTTGTCACTCATGGATTCTTCGCCGGTTTTCATTTTACACGAAAAAAAAGTGTGAAATGATTTAATAGAAATGTCCATATGCTGCATTCCGATGAAATTCGCAGTTCTCTACATATGGAACCACCATTGCTGTTTCGACAAATTAAACATAGAAACGCCCACTTGATTTTACAAACATTGTTATTATTTCCCTGTGGAGAAGCTGACGTAACCGTCAACAAATTGAACTTTTGGCAACCAAACACCATCAAAACCCAGCTACGCATACATAATTCATGAACAATTCGCGAAAAAGCCCCGAATTACATTGTTTATGCCGATTCGTACAAGAATTATTCATGGAACTGCATATGAAGCGCGATGCGCATCATAATTTCAGCAATACTTCCCCCCAAATAAATGAAAAGATTAACAAATTCACACAAGAGTTGGGAATAAAAGAAGCAAGGCTGTTGTAAACCTCGGGTCTTCCGATATAGAATACAAGCGATGTGTTGTGGTAGTGACGGATGTCAGTAGCAGTGGCGGCGGCCAGGTCAAAGCAAAATATTGGAACTACAGCGGCGAGCGACAGGACAGACGTCTGAAAACAAGTTGACGCGGGAACGGCAGAAAACAGTGACGGAGTGGGACGGGCACGGACAGCATGTTCGCGTAATCCGCGAGAGCAGTTCCGCCCCGAGAAGTCGCGCCGATCGCGCGGGGGGGGGGGGGGGATCTGGCGGCTGAGAAGCAGAGGATGTCGGCAGCTTGGACTGCGAGGCTTCAGGACAGCTGAAGGGGAACACCTGTGCTAGAAGCTGCGACTGCGGCAGGGCAGCAATACCGGCGGCGGGGCACGAGAACAGAATGAATACTAGAGCAGCCGCAGCAGCACGTGAAAGGATTCCACAGAGAAAAGCCAAGGGAATTACGTCTGGGAGACAGAGAAAATGCAAATTTATAAAGATGGATTAAACGGAAAAGAGACGTGTAACACGATTCTAACATCACACTAATAATATATTTTTATTGAGTGACTTATAATAAAAATCGTACATATTATCGTGGATTTTAGATTAACTGTTCAATGAAACAAATTAAAGAGTGGCTTTTGTATGCCATGAGAATGCGCGATATTGTCAAAAAATGTACAAAAATTTACAAACAAGCATGTACAGTGTGAAGGTAAAGCAAAAATAAAATATTGGGAACTCAAAAATGTTCCTTCAAACGTGAAGGAAGACCAGAAAAGTCTGAAGAAACGCAAGACATATCCGAGCAGGGCAGTGCCACTGAAGCAGGAAGCGGAATCACCCAGAAGGCGAGAAGCGACGGGGCGCGTGGGAAGGGCGGAGCGCCGGAGCAGCAGGGGACTCCCCGCACCGCCCCGCCCCGCTCCCTCCTACATCCGACGCGCGGCGACGCGGCTGCAGACAAAGGAAACTTTATGGCAAGCAGCGGGCGCCATTCGGCAGGCTGAGGGTGACGCCGGCGGGGGCAACTCAAACCAAAACATGGCCGTTTCCTCACCCCGCCTCCGCGCCGCCTCCCCGCCTTCCTCTTCCGCTGCCCGCCGGCTTCCCCAAACAAGTTCCGCGGGGATTCCCTCGTCCCTGCCTCCCGCCCCGCGCCCTCGCTACCCCGGAAGCCGTCCCCGCAATCTCAAATGCCGGCGGCCGAATTTGTTATTACAACAGAAGCTGCCGCTGGGGCGGCGGCGGCGGCAGTGGCGTCGGCAGGCAGCACGCTGCTCCCGAGGCCGCCGTATCCGCCGCCATTACCCGAATTACAGCCAGAAATGGAACAACAGTGGTACAATCTGCTGGCATAACACTGACGGCGCGCCGGGGACGAAAAGACAAATAGGCGCGATTCGAAAACTGCCCCGCCCCTCCCCGGCGCACCCGCGACGGATCGAGAGCGACCGCCTCGGCGACCGGACACCGCCGACGCCGCCGCAGCGCCGTTGCCACGGAGACCGCACGCAGGCCGGGGCGGCGCGTGCTGCGTGCGGCGGGTTGCCCGCCTCAGGTGCGGAGGCGGCGGCGGCAGCCGAGAGACGACGAAAGCGGTGGAGGGGGAAGGGAGGTGGCGGAAGCGAGGGCGACGGCGGCGGTGCAACCGAGTGAAGTCGGAGGAGAGGCGTGGGGGCGGAGGAAGTGGACGCAAAGGAGTCGGAGGGCGCGGACGGCCACAAAGGCTTATTTCCTCCGGCCACTTTCCCCGACGAATAACACTCTGTTGGGGTTTGCTTCGTTTGCGTAATTCAGGTTGCTTATTGACCATTTGCAAACAACGCGCTCGTTTAACCTCATCAGAAAGTTACAGTAAAAATGAACTCTCACTTAAAATAACAGCGACTAAATGCAGATACAAAATTAGTTGGTAAACAATTACGCTTGAATTTTGCTCACTGACGAACATTAAGGCATACCTCATTTGGTCATTTTTAAGTGTACTCATACAAGTGGAATTTCATTTCACGAACTTCAAATTCTACTGTACAGAAAAATCATGGAAATATGTACATCACCTAATCTTTAAATGCAGTTTCTCGAAAATGACGACTAGAGACGGGGCAGTAATTAATAAGCAATACATTGAAAGCCTAAACAGACATTCAAGGCGGAAGATCATCTAACTAAAGCACAAGATTATTAAGAATTTGTTAGAAGATTACAGAACAATTTACAACGTATATTTTAGTTTTGCAGCGTTACTGATTCTAATGAAACGCTATAACTTCATAACCTAATGATAGCCATTTCATTGGAATGATATAGTTCTTCCACTCTCATACATTTTAGAGAATTATGCAATCTCAACTACTCGTTTGGTGCCATACTATTACACCCTATACACATTGACCATGAAGGTTTAGTTCAAACAACGAACAACGGACTTTTTATAGTCCAATGCACGACACATTGAAGTGTCGTCGACGTCGAGCTGTGTCACATACACGGGATTCGTACAATGGATGAAGGACAGGTTCACATTGGGTCAGCACTGTTCGTCGCCGTCTTTTGCCTTTGCTAACAAAAGGACTGACATATGTACACACTGCATCGACGGTAGAAGACCGCAGGTGTTTAAAGCAGTGAAGGATGCGCGTAGACAAAATGACGGCGACGTCGCGTGCAGTTTGGAGTTTGATCTTTTGGACACTCACCTGGACCGCCTCGTTGTAGGATCCTTCATCACCATGACCTCGGTGATTTCGCCGAATTTACTGAAGTATTCCCGGAGACTTTCTGCAACATAAGAAAAACAATTTGAGTACAACTTCAAACAATAAATTAGTACCTTGATGAAGGTTATTTTGTTACGAGTATTCCAGAGTGCTTGTACTATTTTATCTATAAAAGACCATAATGCAAAATTTATATTATTACTGCATTGATGACAATACTAAAAATATCTGATAATCTAATTCCGGTTCTCTTGTTCTTATTAATTTACAAAACAAGTTGCGGATATGAGTATATATGTAAATAATAAAAGTGTTGCAAAACACCTGTGATATACCTAACCCGTTAACAGACAAATATATTTAGTATTCTAGTCTGCTTTAGACGAAATATTCCGTCGCTGCTGCTGAGACGGAGAAAACTCACACTAGAATAAGATGTGAGGGAAAGTGGGGTGAACGTATGTAGTTGGGATGGGAAAGTAGAAAAGTGAAGAGTGACGGAGGGTGGAACTCAACAAAGTGAGAAATGAAAAAGTGGGGTCTCCATATGGAAAGAAACAAAAAGAGAAACATCGCAAAGAGAGAGAGAGAGAGAGAGAGAGAGGAGGGAGAGACACTGTAAAAGGGTCAAAGAAGTTTTGGTTGAGTTGTAAAGTAATTGCCGTTTTCTCCGCTGGCTCCAGGCTCCTTCCCTCGCTCTGGGCTTGCCCTTCCTTTTTTTCTCCCCACCTCTTCGCACTGTCTGACCCCTCCCACCGAACTCTGAAAGAGAGAGCACGAGAGGTTGAAGAATAGGAGAAATCGTGTCGGAGCAGACAGCGGAGTGGATGGTAGGGGAAGGGGTTGAGGCGGAGACGCACGATGGGGTCTCAGAGAGGCGGGGATGGCGGCAGGGGAGGGGTTGGAAGAGGAGGGGTGGGAAGGCGGAGCGGGTCGAGCGAACCGTGCGTGCAAGTGTGTGTGTGGACGAGGGACGAGGAGGAAGGCGAGCTAGTGGACCAACTTTGAAAGTGAATTAAAACTTTACGTATTTTGAGATCTCCCGCTCCTGTACCGGGCGCCTACCGCCTTCTTCCACCCACTCGCCCTCCCGCCGCCTCTCGCAAGCCCTCCCGAACACCCTCCTCCGGCCTTCCGGCGCGGCGCTCTCCGGAGCCTTTTCTCTTAAGCTAACCTGCTGCTGCTGCGGACTGCAATTCAACTCAAACACCCCTTCTAATCCACCGTTGGACAGCGCTTGTTTCTCCCCGTCCCACTTCGCCCAATTCTTTTCATCACGTGTATCGCGTTCCGCGATTTTCTCATCCCATGAGTTTGCAGCGAGTAAGTATAACGTTCTTCTCTCTTTGAGACCCTGAGCTATCACTCCGGCAAACTCCTCGGAAATCACAACTTAAGTAACTACTAACATATGAAGTAAACGCTGAGCACTGAGGCTTAAAATCAAATAGACAGCAATGCCAAAACAAAGATACCTTCAAATTTTGTGGAAAGAAAAATATTAACACCAACATTGTTGTTAAATTCTTAAAAAAGTTAACTAAAACGTTTTGTGTAAAAATATAATTCTATAAATACTATAATTTTTATTTATTTTCTATTCGTGAAACTTGTTCACACAAAATATTGCATTGATTTTCAGCAACATTCAAAACACAACTTCAAAGAACTGTTGTAGAAGGGAGTAAGATTTCGTAATCATAAACAATAGAGCACAGGAGGAATTTCTTTAAATCAGAAGTAACTTTATCTACTCTCAGACAATTTATTATCAGTGAAACTTTTCAAAGTTGCTGCGAAGTGGCAATAAGATTCAGGGCAGCCCCTCCGCTTCCTTTCTCATAGATCCCCTCTTCGCTCACTGCGCATTATTTCTCTCCCTCGCAAACGACCTCACAACTCAACGAACAACCCAAGCACGCACAGGCAGGCTCGTGTTTTAGAAAAAAAAGGACGGAGTTGCGTGCAGGTATTTTATAGCGCGCGTGAATAATGTGCAAAAAAACACGAGCTACGACTTACTTAGCGTAATTCACCTCAACTGTCGTGTTTACCGCGGGCGTCAACAGAATCCTCTATCGAAATTCTTACAGCGCAGTAATCAACTCCGAGTGTACACTAACGCGAAGAGCAAAGTTCGAGATCCATATTTTTGGGTCTCTTCCTACTTTGAAATTATTTTACAAACGGAGGCTTTGAATCAGCCGTCGTCGACACTGTTTTTCTCTCTCTCGCACTTTTCTCTTCCATTCCCCGAAGAAATACGGCACGTCTTGCGAAGCGAAAGTTTCCATCGGAGCAAAGAATGTCTCTTGTGATCTCGGTCGCTTTAATGGGTAAATTTCTAATAACGTTTCTTTTACACTCTTAGAAGACAATATGTGCAAATTTCCATGTGTTAGTTACAGATATTTCCTGAACGATAAATAATTAACACGCAATGCGAGCTAGTACAACAAAAATAAATACCAAGGACATAAAATTAATCACAAGTAAAAATGAAATTTTACTTATTAATCCTTTATATTTGACCCGGTCTGAGAAACATGGACACCTTTTTTTATAAAGAAAACTCGTAGAGAACAAAAACAGAATTGAACATATATAACACAGCCTGATGTGATTATTTGGGGAAAAAAACATTACAACTTTCTAGATTTCATCATTTTATTACAATTTGCTATTTACTTCGAACAACAAATTTAGGAATATGAGAGCTGGAGTCATAAATCATAAAACTATTACAACACACATTAAAAGTTCTAATTTATCCTGAATTCTCATCTTCATTGCTTTATCTTCCAAAAGATGAATTTGTTTAATCGGGGAAAAATACCTGATAAGCAAAAGATCTGCCAATTGAAAACAAATACACATCAACTTGAGACACACTGGACTAAAATCAAAGCGACACGAGAGAAAAAACAGAGCAAAAATGACGAAAGTCTGCAGAAACAAGTTATCAGCTTATTCTGGCAAGGACAGCTGCAGAAACGCGAAGCGAGATGAGGCGAGACAACTGCCTAGGGCGGCGAGAGGTGGTGATGGCTCCAGCGCCGACAACAAACGTTCATGAGTATCAGCGAGTGTTAATTTTCTTCCGGGTGCGTAAACTATTTATTTCTTTAGTACTGAGAGTGTAATGAACGCCATTTCCAAGGATGTGAAGGTGTTTCCCTTTCACTGGGACATGCGAACCTCCGCTGACATACACGTTGGCTTGCAGGGGTTTCCCCTCTGCAGTTATCTCCTCCAGTAGGACATCACCGCAAACGGGACGAGCTCTAAGCTCCTGATTGAACTCCCGATATTGTGATAGTGTAGTGTATGCAGGTAAGGGGATAAGTCAGGACAAGGAATAGGAAGGAAAGATCGCGCGCGTTATGTGGCCTGTTTGTTTTGTTGCTGTGATGTTGATCGAAGAAACCATTGATAACTAACGACGAGAAAAGCCAGTCGTCAAAATTCTCCTCTGCACAATACTTGAATTCGGCCCGGATATATAGCTCGTGTCTCGATTCGGCCACCTTCGCGATTCGAACCCCAGGGCCACCCGGTCCCATGCTGTAAAAGCATGAGTATTGCTGCCGAACCATTACAGCCGGTGACAACAAACTTAATAGAGACGGAGGAAGGCGCGTTGAGGATGACGTCATACATGTCCCTTGCACGCGCGCCGGGCGACGAACAAGCGTTTGGCAGCATTCACGCCTCCCGCTCAGCTCCCCCCCCCACTCTTACCCATTCCGCCCCCCTTCCCTGCCTCCAACGCAGCCCACGCTCCCGCTCCCGCCCCTCCGTTCCTCCCCAACAAATGTTATTGGCTCCAATAGAGGGCACTTCCATCACGATACACACGCGTATGGATCCTATTTTATGTGCGCCATCCATCGCTCGCTAGCCGCTCGGGCTTCGCTTCGCCGCCACTCTCGACCCCGCCCACCAACGCCCACCGCACCGCCCGCGCGGGCGATTGACTCCGCTAAGTACCACGCAGCCTACGCCCGTCGGCACCGCTTCCCAAGAGACCCATGCGTTAATTATTTCCTCATGTTGGACATCTCCGGGACACTCAGGGAGCCTAGCGGCTGCAATACGACCAACGAAAAGTAAACATGAGTCACACAAATAATGCTGCTTAAATTGCGCAACGCACTTCTGTGTGTCGAGACACGTTTTGTTTATGAAGTGGCGGCACTAAATGGTAATTGAACGAATGTAGTTTAGAAGATATATCTCATTCTTCTTCTATTAAATCAGTAAATCTAAGAAAATAAATATAAACAAGTCAAACCCCATGTTGACTGAAAACAGCTCTTGGAGTTGTTCTGCTAGTCATCTTGGAAAATCGAAACTTACATAAACTTTATTGAAACTTTATTATACAAATCAATGCATGGCACATATGTAAATTAACTTATAAAACAATACTATAAAAATTAAGTTAAGGAGTTATTAAAGAACACAAATATTTTTAATATACCACCACACAATTGCAATTATTGGAATTGTATCAGACATATATTTATAATTTTTAAAGAAGTATCAATAGTGTTTGAAATTTAATAAAGAATAACCTCAAAAACCGGATGATAAGAATGAAATCGAATTCCCCCACCGTCATCAACACGCTTTACAAGCAGGCCCCTATCTCCACTAAAGCCGTCACAACAGGGCGCCTCCGACCGGACCAGATGCCGTATGTTGAACACTGTGAACGATATTTGTCACTGCAGAGAGCTATTTGCGCCTCAGACGCCAGACCGGAGGTTCGCTACGGGGAAAACCCACCGGCGGCGACGGGGCTGTCACCTCGCCAAGGCTGCCAACCTTCCGGTGAACATGACTGACAGTCGGCGAAAGGTGAGCGACTATTTTTGTAAAAAATAAAAGAAGAAAAAGAAAAAAAACGGAGAATTCTATACGAGGCGACGGGGGTGCAGGCCGCTCGCCAAACACAACATAAATGAAGGTGTGTGTGTGTGTGACCGAGGAAAGGGGAATAGGGAAGAGGGAAGGGAACAGAGGGTCCCAGCGAAGAAGAGGGCTCCTCGGTTTCTCTGTCCACCCACAAATTGCGGGTAAACAAGGTGGCAGAGTCGGGTTGCGGCAGAAGGCTGCAACGGGGAGGGCGCGGGGGCCGGTGCGGGGCCGGTGCGGGGCCGGTGCGGGGTCTGGCGCGGGGTCGGGCGCGGGGCGAGCGCGGGGGCGGGCACAGGGCAGCCACGGAGGTAAGCGCGGAGGCGGGCGGAGAGGGGGTGGCCGTGGGAGCGGGAGAGGGCGTGGGCGCGGGGCTGGGGACGGTGCAGGCATGGAGGCGGGCGCGGGGGCCGGTGCAGGGCCGTTGCAGTGGGGCTAGCGCGGGGACAGGTGCGGGCGCGGGGACGGAAACCCAGACCGGCCGCAGGCGCTCGGGCCTCTCTGAAAAAGGGGAAGGGGTGACGGGACCGTAGCGAACGGAGGGGGAGGGGGTGGGTTGGTGGCTAGCGGCGACGCGAGAGGAACACAGGATCGCCGTAAGCGAAATGCTTCACACAGCGTCGCTCTGCAGAAAGAGGAGCCTCTGGGACCAGCACTTAACCGTCTCAGCCACGGAAGCCTCCTCGCGAAGTCACTGGGTGAAAGAGCCACTGACCTGACGCTAGGATACATTGCATTTTGCGGACAAACCACAGGACGAGCGTCACAGCGTTTCCTTTCACATTGTGAATAGATCGATATGTACTCACTCCTATGTAGACACATCCACTCATTCATTATCACTTCATTTCACTTCAGTGTCACTTTCATTCTACTTAACCGTATCGAGGAATAATTACATGGACATAACCGAGAATGCAAACACACATTTTACAGGGTGGGTTTCGTGTAGTAGAAGAGTGTATTCAATGTTCGCAATGATTTTAACTATCCTTCATAATATTACTCATTTGTTATCATGACTTTTAAGAAAACAAGTTAAAAAATCTACGAAATTCCTAATAAAGTTGGTTTTACCTTTGGTTGTTGCGACATGCATCACCATTTTTATACTTACTGTATTATGCGGGATGCAAAGGTTGTCAGTATACATTCCTATTATTTTGTAATTAATGAGATTGTACTTTCAATTGACCAGTATTTTTGAACCAATTACTGGCTCAAAATAGATACAATGTCAATACCTTGTTTCACATGAAATATTTATCCAGGGAACAGTGACTTACTCATTGTCTTTTATGAGTTCACTTCTATCACATATCCCGTTGCATCTCCTTTTCATCTGCAACACTTTCTTTAGATTACATTGTGCCCCCATTTTCTTGGCTGCTCAACCCCCCCTCTCTCTCTCTCTCTCCCCTCCATTGCTCTCTACTTCCGCCGACCTCTTCCACCGGAATTGCAACCACCCGCCATCCCATCCAAAACGCCCGCTTCCACCATCCCAACGTAGCTACGCCTGCCGTACCCACCGCCTTCGCCGCAGCCCCAGACAACATCCGGTATGAATATGCAGATGGAGACTCGGCTGCGCGCCGCGAAGCCGGCCGGCGCGGCACAGCGCAGCGCGGCGCTCGGGCAGGCAGTACGCAAGTGGCGGCGGCGGCGGCGAAGTATGCATAAATGATGCAATCTTATGCGGGTTTTATCACCGTAGTGCGCTCTCTTTCCTGAAATGCCACACCCTTCCGACGTCTTCCCGGCTGCCGCCGCCGCTCCCGCCTGCACCCCGCCCGCCCACCATTCTCTCCATCCCTCTCCTTGCGTAATTCATTTTGAGTTCATTGTGAAATTAGCATTATAAAGTGGCCCCCTTTCCTTATTTCCTGCTGCGAGCTGCTTCTCTGTGCCGTGAATTTGAGTTTTTGTCGGTGCCTTCGTCCCCGCCGCGCCGCCTCCGCTCCGTCGTGCCTAGGAGCGCACGGACATGTTTTCCGTAATGACGAACGATACTCTTCGCGGAAATCTACATTTTAAATTCCACCTGTTCGCATTCGAAAGCTCGCTTGTTAGCATTGAGATCAGGGAATTTCTCTTCCGTGACGTGAAGTGACTTTCCAGCACAATACATGAATTTCTGGGAATTTCATGAGAAAACGAAGGAATTCAGCATTAACAATATTCATCATTCTGTTACATTGAGTAGAAAGATGCCGCATGTTTCACATTAGCTCATGTTTCTAATATTTTCTGAACTCCCTAAGTGACATTCTTATGTTTAAAGCTTCATGGTTTGAACCGCGGTGTAAGGAATTGTACATCGTGGTTTGAACTAAACGTATGACACCGTATCATTACACAATTTTCAATTTCAGAGCATGCAGATTTGCAAAGGATATCAAATTATGTGATTAGCCTCTACAAGATGAGATGTCTGGTATATATCCTGCAATAAACTGTTCTGAAATAGGTACTTCTAAAGAATGCCATATTGAATGCAGCTTCGGGAAGTGCCGTTGAAAAACAGGAATACAAAAAAACGTTACAAGGCATAACAAGATAATGACGGGCTATCGAGTTCTCGTTCATCTCCGCAAATGACGGCGGATTAGGCTTCATAGGGTGACTATGAATCACGTTTCAGCATTTTCACTCCTTAAAGAACTTGTATAAAATAAATTCAAATTAATGTAAGAAATCCTACACAGACTACATGAAAATCATGTTCGTAGGAGTGTGAAATAACGTCTTGTTACTGGAGTCATAAAAGAAAATTTTTCCCACTGTAGCATTTGGGGTAAAAACGACCAACTATTACACTTTTTTGCCGACGAACAAGTCAATAAAGTATTGTCAAAGTCATGAAGTTGTTATTTTGTTCTCCTGAATTATTGCTCCTTCTACAGATTCCACGTCGTACAGTCCGAACAGACCGAGATCTCTTAACAGCACTCCCAAAGAATAACAGTTGACGGGAAGACAATACTCCTTCGTGCCATGTATGCCACTCGTCACTTCCTGCGCTAGCATCTAGGAAGCGACCGCCAGGGAACAAAAAGAGCACTTTGTCCTCTGAGCAGCAAGTAACACGCGACAATGTTCCCGGGGGCCACGAGGTGACCTACGCTGTGCACATCCTGGCCTCGTCAAAACAACATGTAAATTAACCCGCCATTTGAAACTGAAATAAGACACTCACGACACGCCTCTGTTACTCTCTTTCTCTCTCTCACTCTGCAGTCACCTTCCCTCTCCTTCGGCATTGAAGGTCTCTTTCTACAGATGATCTGTGTGAGACTTTCAGAAAATACACATGACAAGACGGACTTTTTTGTTTTTTGAACAAGATTGATGACCTTTCGTTAAGAATGCTTCTCCGAAGAAATTATGACAAAATAACAAAGCTCTTGCTATACGAATTTCAACATTTCATTTATATTTAGCATCATGACGAAGACATACTCATTGCCAAATGGCGAGGTATACTGAAGACGTACGAATCCAATGAATGACTCGTATGTATCGTACGAATGACTAGGCACGGGAAAGTATTTTCACGAATTGGTGAGGTGGAACATTCTTATTATGTTTAACGTTTGATTTATTATAACTTTGTATCTAGAAGTATACTCTTATTTTAATTCATCATATTAAAAATATGTTTATTTATGAGTTTATTCTGATTAAATTTTTTTTTACAACTCAAAACAAGAAAGTGTTTGTGAAATGAAGCAAGAAAACATTAACTTCAAGTAACTCGCCTGTTAATTCTATAAAGTACTTAACTATTTGTCATGGTTTTTAGACATCCTTGTTCAGGAACAAGACTTGAAATGACAAGTTTGCCGTACAAAGTTTTCAGTCAAAGAAGTAACAATTTTATAACAATTGAAAACACTTATGTACCTAAGCACTCTTAAAGACTTCAAACCACGGTGTACAAGTGCTTTACGAGAAGGATAATTCTTAAAAATATAACATAATGAAGTATGACACGGATTTTCAAAGGACAGGAAACTACCAAATAAGGAATAAACACCTCTAATGAAGACATCCGAATCGCATTAACTGCGCGCGTCTTAAAACGATATTTTTTTTTATTCTCGGGCCTCACAATTCATTTTTGCTTTGGTAGTAGTGCCCTCCTCCTTCGGCTGTCTGTCGGTCTCTTTCCATTCCCAACTACACCCCCACCTCCTACAGTCAGCAGAACGAATGAGAAACTATTTCGTGCATCCACTGGAAGGGTTTTTCGGCGTTTCCAGATACGGGGCACATTAAACAAAAGCGCTGAAAATGGTAGCAAAGGCTGCTGTTGGAATTAGTACATGTGCATTCCCTCGTGATGAAGGCACGCTCTTAAATACATAATACTTTATTCATCATTTTTGCCACTCGCTTATGCAAAACGTTCTTTACTTCATTCTCCTTCCGGTCAGAGAAAATACACACCAAAAGTCCCACACAGTAATGCACAAAAATTCTTAGCACGAGTATTCCAGCTAACGAAACCATTCCAGGCACATTGGCGTCCACTGGAAGACGTACATTCTCTGCATCTTATTTCTGTTTATTATATCACTAATCAACACATAAGCTAATATTGAATAAAATAAAGATTAAAAGCACGGCATTTGAATATGAAGAAGAGAAGAACCAAATCGTGTCGACTAACGACTCCAGCACTTTCTTTACTATAAATAAAAAACCCATCATATACATTGACGGCAGAGCTCTGCAGCGTATGTTGAAGTTCAGAAGTAAACATGCAACGACACACCGAAGTACAAATCACGTAAGTGGTTGTACACAACGCTTACAATATCACTTTTTTCTGAGATTGTTATGTTTTTAATGATGTATTAGTCTCTTGATATATATTGTCTAATATTGTTATCGTGCCAAATACAATAAAAGGGACAAATATTAGATTTCAATATAATTTTTGTATCTATAATACCAATAAAATATAGACTTACAATAGTATACACTATTCCATTAACGTTGTAAACGTTTGTAAAAACACATTTTAGCCTGTTTTACATATTCTTGTTAACGTACCTTAACATCTAGGAATTAACCATGCCCCTAAATTTTCTGACCACACAACAGCTGAAAATTCTTGTCTGAAACCTTGAAACCCAGCGTCTAGAAGTGAGAAGCTGCTTCGCTGGACTGTACGCTACAGATGGTCCGATCTTGGTTCTAACGATATTCACATCCAGCTGAAGCGAGGAGGGCCCGGCACAGCACCGCGCCGCGCCGCACCGCGTCGACTTATAGGGGAGCGAGCGGTGGTTTCAAGGGCAGCTGCTCCTGCGAGTAGCCGCGCCTCCGAGGAGCTCCTTCCCCATCTTCTCCTTCCCCATATAGGACTAACTGCACACTTAAGCGGCGGAGGCGGAGGAGTAAAAATCGCCTCCATCTCGACGGCGCGCCGGCGCCCGCCGCCGAGGGGCGGTAATGAGGTCCTCCGCAGCGGGGATTGCGCGCTTTTATTGTGTCCGAGCGCCGCGCCAGCCCCGTTTGTTAAGGCGGCCGGTGGCCACTCCTCTCCGCTGCACCGGCGACCCCGCGCCAGACCCCGCGCACACGGTGGTTACAAAGTGCGGTGCAAGTGATGGTTAACGTCCTGTAAGCAACATCAGGTCTTCAAATTCAGATGCCTTACAATATCCGAGGTCTTGCAATATCCGTTGTATTACAATATCCGATGTCTTTCAAGTTCCGACGACTTTCAAGTTCCGTCGACTTTCAAGTTCCGACGACTTTCAAGTTCCGACGACTTTCAAGTTCGACGAATTCGACAGTTCCGACTACATTCAATTTCGACGACATTCAAGTTCCGACGATATTCAAGTTCCGACGACATTCAAGTTCCGACATCTTTAATATTCCGACGTCTTTCATTTTCTGATGTACATTCATGTTCAGATGTCTTTACGTTTCTCAGCTGAATAAGCCTACTACTTCAACTCGGAAAGAACCGTTAGTTGAAGGGTGTCATGGCCCGTGTGTGCCTGAGATAATGATATTCTCAAACAATCCTAACATTAAGACTTTTTTACAAAGTAGTTTGTTTCTATGCATTTCCAAAGTCCAGAA